CTCCCGTCCAAACTGTTGGAAAACTTCAAACTACGATCTCAAGCGTACCTAAATTTAAACACGAGATTTTATCCACCACATGAACCCTAGTGGGAAAACTAAGTCTTGATGGGGGAGAACTGAGCACATAGCATGGAAGCTATCTTGAAACCTCACCTCACGGTTTTTCATTGTTGGGAGGGGAAGAAAGCACAAAATGGAATTGGAAGCAAAATGGGCTTTTACTTTATTTTATAATTTACTAGATTCAAATATAAAAGTTAAAAAAAATAATAATATGAAAAGGAGAAAAGTGGGAGAGAAATGATTTTTTTATTTTTAATTTTTTTCTAAATTAAAATGCAAGGATGACTAGGTTTGAAAAAAATAGTGGCTCTTCAAACATTTTCGATTTTGTGCTAAAAGATTAATATCAAGGATTTAAAGAAAATCCCCCTTTTTGAGTGGCTTCACTTTGCTCCTTAATGTATTTTCATTCCAAATTTGCCATAAAAAATTTTGAGAACTGTTATTAGCACTTCGAAAATTTCATTTTGCATTATTCACCAGTAGGGATGCAACATGGATTGGGTCAACCCAAATTCGCTCATGCCCAACCCGATTTCAAATCCGATCGAGAGGTTAGAATGAAGTAAAAACCCACCCAAACCTAACCCAACCTCAAGCTAATTATTTATTAGGTTGTACGAGCGGGTTTAGTTCATTTCTATTCGGTTTTTTTACCGAAGCCGAAAACCAAACCGAAGCTTCTATTTGGTTTGATTTTTCTTTCATTTTTTTAGTTCAGTTTGGCTTAGGTTGGTTTTTGTCGGTTAAGTTTAGATTCGGTTCGTTTTTTTTTTTTTAAGTTATAATTTTTATATATCTTTTTCAATAAGTCAAACACCGTTGCTTGGTACACTATATCACTAATGTATGCATTGTTGAAACTTCTAAGGGAGGGCATATGCATATTTATTCCATTACCAAAAATAAGGGAAGATGCATATATTTCAGTACCAAAAATGATAAAACAATGTAAATAATTATATGCAATGGGAAATTAACATAGAATCCATTTCAGACCGTGTATTAGTTAAGCAATTGTGACACACCCCGACCGAAATCAAGGCGTGACGGTCAGCACGTCTTGATTTTGGTCGGGGTTGAGGCCTAAAGCAGACAATATCGTGCTACGGTGAAATCGAGCCTAGGATGTGATTGGGACCCGGGCTGAGTTGTGACAATTGGCTCCTGCCAAAATCCATTTCATCTTTAAGCAGTTGGCAATAAAAAACAATAGCAAATCCTTAAACTAATTGCACATGTACGCAGTGTAATGTATTTGTTAGTAAAGGTTAGTTAAGTATCATAAAACTTGTTTAAATGGGTTTAGAATTCGGTTCGGTTTGATTTTTTTAATCTGGTTTGATTTTTCTTCGATTCAGTTTATTTCGGTTTCTATTCGATGTTAAGTTCGGTTATTTTCAGTTTTCAGTCTTTCGAATCCACCCCTATTGGGTTGGGTTGATGCTTTGCTCGTCTATGTCAACCCAAACCGAGTCAAATTTTTAACCCAAATTACTCATGCACATATTACCCATCTCACTTCGTATTATATACACTAGATACAAGTTTGGGATGGCTATACCTGAAATTTGTTGTTTGCTTTTCATTTGAACAATGAACAATAGTGTTGCTTTTATGTTTCTTTTGGTTAAAACATTAGTATTGTCTTGTCATTTAATTTTAATTTTGCATGGTTGAAACTTTAGAAATGTGTCCCACTCTATTTGGTTTATTATTTTTATGGATGGTGATGTGTAAAATTGAATTTTAATGGTTTTGCATTACTTGGTTCAAAATTTGAGATTTATCTTATGAAGTAATGTGTTAGAAGATTAAATTTGATAAAATTGGGCAAACGCAAACCCGAATAAATCCCCATGAAACCGAACTCAAGCCAAACCTGAATTAGAAAGGTTGGGTTAGGGTTGGGTTGATCATCTAACCTGCCCAATTTGCCGAGTTGCGTCTCTACTCACAAATGTATTTTTCTTTCAAAATATAGAAAGTTTGGAGTGTATAGTGAGAATTTTGAATAGCTAATAACAATCCTCAAATTTTAAAAAATGTATTTAATAAGAACAAGCATGATGAAAGTTGTCAGGTGGTGCGTAAAAGTGATGTACATATACCCAAACTTAGATTGTCTGCCCTTCCCATCGCATATCATTCTCATCCCCTCTTATTTATGTAGTAATAGTTAAGCCACGTCAACATTTTACATTAATTTTTTTTTTTATAGAAATAATAAAACAAAAAACAATGAGAATATTAAATGTTGACGTGGTTTAACCGTGACCACAAAAGATAGGAAGGGATGGGAATGGTATGGGATGGGGAGGGCAGACAATCCAAGTCCCATATACCCTCACTTAATCACTATCTCTAAAACCCGTGTTGGATTCCATCCGGATCCACTTTGTAGCGATCCTAGAGATACCCCATATCTTAGCAGTTCATTGTATATCGTGCGGTCATAAATTATTTAATTTTTTAATTTAAAATTAAACACAAATAGTATCTCACGAAAATTGATCATATAATATACGATGAATGGATAGGATATGAAGATCCTAAGATCCCCACAAAATGAATCCGGAAAGGATCCTTTTCCACAAAAGTCTCCATCTCTAAACCCGTTTTCTTTCCGGAGAATCCAAGCAAAAGCAAAAGCAAAACCATGACGATTAACTCAGAAGCCGAAAGGCTAGTGAGCAGGACGGATGGCCATGGTGGCCACTTTCACTGCTGCCTAACAGCGAGAACATGAAAAATTATTCTTTGGGTTCACAATTTAATTTCTCATGTGTGCAATTTGAGCTCACAAATTTTGGGTTATGTAACTGGGCTAGTTGGGTATATTTTGTTTTCGCTTTTAGTCGATTTTGTTCACGTCTTTTTAGCAAAATGACAATGTGAGCGAGATTTTGGGTAGGTTTCTCTGATTGCTCAAGACTCCCAAAGCGATCTTTCTACCATATAGATTTGACTGCTTACGACGAAGCCAAAGTTGCGATTGTAAAAAGCTGGAGAAAATGTGATTTAGGAAAAGAGACTTAATTGTGCCTTTATTTATAAACTTACAGGAGTAGGGAAAGTAAAATTATTTATAATAGTAGGGAATGTAAATTCATTACCCTAATAGAGTTACAACTCTAATAGGATAAGATCTAGTCTAAGAGATATTCCATATATGATAAGATTTGCACGATCACACTCATAATCTAATAGGACTGCAACAAATGATAACATGTTTTCTTAATTTTTTGTGCTCAAATGACATCCATGAAAATATTTTATATTAAAATACAACATTGGTTTTATCAACTTTACCCCGAGAGCATAGTTCGACTGTTAAAAATCTTCACGTAGTTGTTTCTCGATCTATATTTTGGTGCAGTCTTGTAAGCAATATATTCGTACGTTATCTTCTTTTCAATGGACTCAATCTGACCAATTTGTGTAAGCTCGTATCTAACTATCTACCGATTCATTATTTGTATTAATGAAGAACCTTGTACCTTGTATCCCACATGGTACCTCCTGGTCTTCTCTTTCACCACTCAGTGAAGCCTGCTCAGGAAGGGATTTGACTGCTATACATGATATCCCAGAGAATATCGGCTATGAAGACGATGGATTGACAAATGAGGTCGTATTTTTGTTTAATTAATGGAGAAGTATCTAATAAGTTGTGTTGTATATATATATTTAGCCTTCTCAATAGTTACGTTCCACTGCAGCTCTCGTTCCAAATGTGAACTGACCAAATGCAGGAATCATTAGATTCAAAGAAAAGTGGGGATTCTGCTTTTAAGCACTAGGACTTCAGAACCACAATTGAATGTTATTCACAGGTTAGGTTCTTATTATGATACTTGTGGGAAATTCTGAGTAGAGGTTTGATACGAGTTGCTTTCATGTTCCTACTGATTTCCGAATTTGGCCTTCAATAGGATGTTCTTTATCTGGCCTGTTAAAATAAATTACTAAACGCAGCTTCGTACGGAATTTGTTTGGCGTTAGATTTCCAGTTAGAATACGATCGTTACATTTTATCTTCTAATTCATGATTGGAAGAACTGAAGAAACAAAGTCGGTAGTTTAAGGTATCTTAGAGTATCTGAACTTAGTAACTCTACTTGCACGACCAATAAAAACAACAAAACTGAAAGAAAAGAAAAATTAGTAAATCCTTAATTGCTGCTTTCTCTGCATGTTTTATCGTTGCTGACGGTTCTATTTCGCTTTCAGTTCATTGGTGCTGGAACAATGGTTTCTCCAACAGTTTTGCCCGCCATAGTCTGTCTTATCTCATGAGTGACAAAGCCTCAGGAAGCTACAAACGATGCAATGCAAGCACAAGTAGTTTCCCCCGTTTGGCCCATTGCATGTTATCTTAGGCTGTTGCCCTTTCGGCCCTTGGAATGGACATTGAAGCGTAAGCTGCACTTAAGGAGGTACTATGCTTGAATCCAAAAGGAGCACAGCAGCTGGACAGAAGTGAAAATCTAGGCCGCTCGACCAGGTGCCTAGTTTGCCACTTCTCTCGGTTTGGCTCTCGGCTTATGTATCCTTCGATTGATCAAAAGGTTTAAAACCACTGAAGCCAAAGCTTCATCATTTCCACGGTTTAGATTTTGTCATTTACCAGCAGTATATATTGTATTTGAATTGTTTATTTGAATTGATTTCCCAGTGCGTCAAATGATTCGAGTATATAAATTTCTTTGACAAAATGGAAAGGAAAAATAGAAAGTCGTAAAAAACATTGGTAGGAAGGATGTCATTCAGAAGCTTGTAATTTGTGTACAGAAAGCATATAGGGTTCCTGGTGTATTATTTCTGATGAAAAAAATAATAATTAGTTTGTTGATCGTCGTCTGATCATTGATAGACATATGCACAAGACTGCAACCAATCCCTTGAACTAAAATTTACGGCAAACAAAACAATCATATGCAATCCAGAATTAACTGAATTTCTTTAGTAAATATCGTGATTCAAAACATATACTGCAGAAAGGTCTTGATAAAGTAAACATAAACATAAACTTCGTACAAACAATTTACACTAACAAATCATCTGCCAAGGACATTTAGAAGTAAAGTTCTTTATTATGACAATTCAATACTTGAAAACTTAAAACAGATAAGGCCCGTGAAGCTCTTCCAGTGAAGTGAATCCTTTTGTGTTGTCTCAGAAGCGCTGAAAATAAAAATAAAAAAGCATGCATAATTAAGTTTTGAAGAACACAACCAAATTAATCAGAAAGACCTTACGAAGAGATGCATGCATATCGCTTAATTTAAGAAAGAAAAATAAATCACATTTACGTACCATTGCTTAATTGAAGTGCCGCTTGATCAATATCACCCTCACATAAAACCAATCATTCAAGGTATTCAAGAACCTGAAGTATGAGTATCTCCATGGCCTGATAAAAATCAGACTGCTACAAACTCCCCAAAATCCAACAATAAAGCCAAGCGCCATGCTGACGTAAAATCCCCATGTTATAAGCTCATCCTTTTCTTCTTCGTTGCTTGAGATTGGAGTTTCCTGTTGATCACCACACATCTTTGGAAGTGGAGGTCCGCACAGCTGAGGATTTCCAGCATAATCAGAGGGATCAAAACTTTGGAGCTGAGTGCCTGTTGGAATTTTGCCAATAAAGTTGTTGTATGACAAGTCCAAGACACTAAGACCATATATCTGAGCAAGGCTTGTTGGAATTCTACCATGTATCTGGTTTCTTGACAAATCAAGTGCATCCAATGATTGCAACTTTCCAATCTTTGCAGGGTAACTCACCTATCAATCCGTTTCTCGATAGGTTTAAGGAAACTAACCCAACAAGATCCGTGATTTCACTTGGAATCTCCCCCGTTAATCTATTGCTCGAGAAATCAATTCTCTTCACAAGTCCCAAAGTGTTTCTATACGAGTGCATTCTTCCCTTCCATACGAATGTTGCATCATCCATATAACCAACGCCATCAAAAAAATCATCTCTTTGGTACAAATGTTGAAGGATCGGAGATGAATTTCCTTTTTGTGCCAGAACAGTCAAATCGTTGAGGCATTTTGGTATCGTTCCAGAGATGTTGTTGCTAGACACATCCAAGTTTTGAATGTTTGTTAGACGGCATAGTTCAGACGGCATGCTTCCGTTGAAGTTATTAGAGGAGAGCATCAGGATAACCAAGTTCTGAAGGCTAACCCCTAACCATTTTGGTATGCGTCCTGATAATTTATTGTATCCAACATCAATAACCTGTAAACTGGTGCAGTTCTTGAAGGATGAAGGAAACTCTCCAACAAATCTGTTGCTTCTTAATTTCAACGTTTTCATTTGATATAGTGAGCCTACTGTGGATGGAATTTTCCCGGAAAAAGCATTGTAACTCAAATCAAGCATGACTAGATTGTCCAAATGTGTCAAGCATTCTGGAAGTTCTCCAGAGAGATTGTTGCTTGAGAGATTAAGAAACAATAATCCATTGTATGCTTCACACAAGATAGAAATCGACCCTGAAATTTTATTATTAGAGAGATCCAAACATGACGCACGTGCTAGAGTTGGGGGAATTGGACCTTCAATTTGGTTCGAACTCAGCTGTACTTTGGGGTGATATACGAAATCCACTGTCAAATTTGCAAACATTTCTCCAATCTGGTTATTGGAAAGATTGATATATGTCACGTTACGAGTCATACCCCAAAACCAGCTTGGAAGGATATCCACAATTTCAGCGTTAGAAATATCGAGGTATGCATACTCGTTCTGAGTTCGAAGCCATTTTGGAAAATATGGACCCATTTTGCAAGACCTCAAACATATATGGACCAACTGAAAAGGAGGAATCCAATCGGAATGGAAGTTTAAAGCTAGCAAGTTAGAGGACAAAGCCAAATACCTTAATCTGGAGAGTTTAGAGAAATGAATTTCGAAACCACACCTTCCAGAGCATTCATACTCAGGTCTATACACTCCAGATTAGGCATTTGCCCAATGCTTTCAGGTATTGTTCCACTTAATTGATTGTAATAGAGAAGTAATTCTTTCAATGATGAATATTTTGTGAGATTAGGAATTGATCCAGAAAGATGATTGCTTGAAAGGCTCAGAATCTCCAATGAGTTTTGATCAGGACATGTAGACATTAATATTTGAACCAACCAGGAAAGCTGTCCACTCAGATTATTGCCAGAGAGGTCCAATATTTGCAGATTACATAACTTGGAAAAAGATTGTGGAATCCCTCCTTCAATTTGGTTAGAAGAGAGATCAAGATAAACAAGGCTGGCATTGGTTTTGGATAACCATGCAAATATGGAAGATGTGAGTCGGTTGAAACGGAGATCAACATGAGTAAGATATTTTGAAGAATTCATGTTAAAAAGAGTAGTGGAATGAATTGCAGGAGAAGGAAGACCACATTGATATAATGTTAAGTTTGTAAGTTTTGGGAGCTTGCTAACTATTTCCAGCCAGTCAGGAACATTACTGAGATTGTTCCAACTTAGGTCCAGATATGTTAAAGAAGAAAGATGAGGTAGCCACTGAATTGAGATTTTCTGCGTTAGCAAAGTAGTTGAAGCTGAGATCAAGATATTGCAAGTGGGTAAGGTTTCCAACTTGACTTGGAAATCGACCATCAAAAGAGGCAAAAGAGAGATCGAGGTGTCTTAAATTGGAAAGCGAACCAATGAAATCTGGAAGTCGGGTCCCATTGAAGTTAATCCACGAAAGGTCCAAATATTTCAAATGATGCAACTCAATCAGTTTAGGACTCATCATCTTACCTTGAAAAGCATAAGTGATATACTGCGGGTGTCTTTTCTGTTGAAGTGACTGTGAGTAAGCTTCAGGCGAAGAAGACCATCCAAGATTAAGTTGAGTAACATGGTTGGTGCGGTTGCTGCAGTGGACGCCTGCCCATGTGCAACAATCTTGCTTGTGGACTTCTCTTCCCCATGAAGAGAGGAGATTGTAGTGATCCACGAGGTCCTGTTTGAAGGCAAGGAGTGCTTCTCTTTCCCTCTCAATGCACCTCATCACTCCTCCTGAAGAAATATTTTTGAATCCAAGGGAAAGCGAAGGGTTGACACATTGTAGTAAAGTTAGCCCCAGAATTAAAGCACGAAGGAGTTTGTTCAAGCACCTGATTCTGTCTCCCTCCATCTTAGTTCAGCTAGGGTGGTTCAAACGGTTAAGACTCAGTGTGGTATGGAAAAACCCCCAACAGTTTGTAAGAATAACGTTTGTTGGCTGTGAATAAGGCCTGGTAATGTGTTTGGTTAAATAATAAACCAAATCAAAATGTAATATACTATGACTTGCATACTTGTATTTGACGCGTTTGCACTGTTTTTGTTTCGATTGAATATGAGTTATGTTTTTTCATTTTGTTTATCATTTCGTCTCAATTACGTTACAAAGAAATGTTTACAGTCACGTAAATTACCAGTTGAGGCAACAAGTGACGAACAAAATCAATATTTCCCATTTCCAACAAATGGAAATGTATTAACTTGACTCAGTGATTTTTTGTCTTTCTATTTTTTTGAATAAACCATATTATATACAGTAGCCTAACCCTAGACTGTAGTACTAAATAACAGTGATTTTTTGTCTTTAAAATTGTTATATGTATATGCCTTGGCCTTTAGCATAAATATTTTATGTGCTGCTTCAGCAAAAGTCAAGACTCAAAAAGGCAGGCAGGGTCCAGTGATAAAATTACTCAAAACCGTGTTTTTTGTTTTCTTGTTTCTTTCGGTGTAAATAGGAATTTCGTTGAATTGGGGAGATTAATCGTTGACAAAACTTGTGGAAATCTGGTATGGGAAGCAAGAACCAATTTGTGGGAGTGCATCAGGGTTAACATTATTGCTCACTTTTCCACGAAACTGACAGGACTTGTGGAAATTAGTACAGGAAGAAAGAATCAACGACTGATAGGACTCGTGGAAATTGGTATAGGAAGAAAGAGCCAATGCGCGGGAGTGCATCGAGGTTAATATTATTGCTTGCTTTTCTACTAGACTGACTTCTCTTTTCGGTGGATAATTGTTTTTCATTTTCATTTTATTTTTTGTTTTTCGAACACACAATTTTACAAGATTTGAATTTAATATTTTCAACTTATAGTGAAAAGAAATATCATCGGTCTGTAATACTAACTGTCGTGGGAATTGTTAGTAAAAAACCGATCATGCCACAAACAATCTATGACACGGTCTGTTTGGGTGGAGGATTTTCAAGCCATGGAATTGAAAAACAAATTATAAAGGAAACAATAACAAAATGAGAAAATTCTTCAATAGTGCGAAGTAGTGAATGATACGAAATGAATATCTAAGATGAAAATAAAATATCTAAAAGTTGTTGAAATTGAATTGAACAGCTAAAACTACTAGTTCTAAAAATCTTTGCCTAGGCACTATGAGGCTGTGGCTACCACCTCGATAAATCACTAGGAGTTGGGAAGATTAAGAAATGACACCTAGACTCTCTAAGTAAGTAATGCACAACTCTAATACCGTACTTGTTACAAAACTATGTAGGATATTTTGCTCACTTGCATTCTGCAATCTCAAAAACTCGGGCAGTTCCGTCAGTAGATACTGAAACAAGAAACTCTTGGTTGGCAGAGACGGAAAGAGACTGTATAGTTTCGGTGTGGCCGCTGAAGGTTCTAACACAATCCCCAGAGCGACTGTCCCAGACTCGAACCTTTCCATCCCCACAACCTGTTGCTAGGTAATTTGATTGACCAAGCCATGTCAAGCATGTCACTCCATCCTGCCAACAAATAAGATTTTTCCATTAGACAGTTGCAGCAATTTAAAATCTACAATGATACTGGCTGGAAGCAAACATGCTCGTAACAACTCAGAATGTTAGAACCGGAAAGGTACATATTATACAAGAAGAAACTCCAACAGACCTCATGTTCACATGTAGCACGGGCCGATGAAGAAGGCAAGTCCCAGATAACAAGCTTCTTATCCATACCTCCTGTTGCAGCCCAAGGGGAGCTGCCATACCCAATTTAATTTATGAGTATAGTGAAAGATTACTACATGCTTTAGAGTCACATTGATTGCAACTGCAAAGATATAAACAACACAAAGTTTCCCTGTACATGCTTTCGTATTTAGGACGAAGGCTGGAAACAATGGAGGTGAGAAGTCAACACGTAATAGCTTTTTATCAATCCAAAATTGCAGCAGTCTATCATAATTAATTACAGTTCAATCTGAATGTCCGAGAGGCTTGGATGTACCTTGGTGCAAGCCCGATGCATTCGACAGAATCTGAATGTGAAGCCAGGGAGTTAACAACCTGTTGATGGGGAAAAAGGAATTCTATTAGAAGCCTGATAATTGTAGATGTGAAACCAAGGAACTAACCAACTAAGGAATCGTAGTGTAACAAAAATACATCATACCTTTCCGGTAGTTATGTTGACGATACGGATAGAACCATCTTCAGCACCAGTATAAGCTAGAGTTGAATCAGAGCTTATTGCCAAACATGTTAATCCAGCAGTATGGTATGGGTGACCTAGAAGTCAGAAAATGTCAAAGTTTTCAATAAGAGGACAAGCAACTACCGTTTTTGCCCCAAGTTTCAAATAGACAAAACTGCTGGATATCAGAAACAACATCAGTTCAGTCTTTCACTTCCTGTTAACCTTACCAACTTTTAGCAAGATAAACATGGCACAACTCACTAGCATCAGAAAGAAAGGAGATATTGAGACCAGTAGAAGATGACAGATTTAGTCTGCACAGTTTATGCAAAAAAGGTGATAACTCAGGACTAGCATGCCCAGATGCAGAGGAATTAACTCGTGATACATAAGCAATGATAGATACTAGCATCATGATAGAATAGGGTACTTTAGGTAAGTTAACTGATCGAATCGAAGATGAAAATATAGATTAAAAGAAATTCATCATAGGCAATCAAATTCGGTGAAAGGATGAAAAGACAGAGCTTCAGCCCAATTTTCTGTATTGACACCTCATAAAAACTCAAATTTTCACCAAGATATTGTGTATATTGGCCGAAATTTCTGATACTGAATGCGAATGTCATTCTTCTCGGATATATGACAACTAAACATCTGAGCATCATCCTTATCAATGTTTGGTATAGGAGTTCTCTGCTCTGTCATATTATGGTTCTGAATCGGTAGCTTCTTAATGAAGTCAAAACATTGCAACATCAATTGGTCACAGGTTGAGCAAGCAAAAGGATCAAGCATATTCATATCTTCCTTCGTGTTTTCAAAAGTTAAAGCAATCAAGGTTTCATGCTACCTTTTTTCTATATTGTCTTTTGCTCTAAAACTTCAACTAACTTGTAAGCGGAACAACATAGGAAAGTTATAAGATAGCTTGAACAGATACCTTGTATGACATGAATGTTTTCGCCACTTTTTGGATTCCATATCCTCAAAGTTGCATCAGCAGAACCAGTGCATATTGTTTTACCTTAAGCAAGCAGCAAAAGACATGAAAACGTAAATCAACGGTGACAGTCAAGAAAAACATCAAAATGCTTTATGAATCAGTTAAATAATTAAATGCAAGATAACAGTTTACCAAAAAAAAAAAAAAAAAAAAAAAGAGGAAGGGAGCAAGAGAGAAGCAGACAGATAGCAGTACAAAGATGAAGAATGGTTACCATCAGGGGTAAAATCACCACAACTCACGTTACTACCATGGCCTGAAAACATATTAAGATAGGACCCACTGTCAGCATTCCACATCCACACAGTGCAGTCCTCTGAACCAGCCAGAACCAGATGCCCCCTAGGATGCCACCTGACCCACTGAGAAATCACAGAGCTCATATTAAAATTTCTAATAAAGTATAATCACAGTAAGAAACAGAGCCTGATGTTTTTACCTCAATGCCCCCTCCAGGACCTTCAAGAGTTCTTTTTCCAACTCCGTACGCTACATCCCAAATTTGAATAGTTCCATCTAAGCTTCCGGATGCAAGCAACTTCCCATCGGTACTAAATGATAAACTAGAAACAGAATCCTTATGACCTGCAGAGTAGCGTAGATGAAGTTAAACTTGGGCCTAAGATCCAATGAGTACATAGTTTGGAACTTTTGAGCTAGGTTTCTAAAATAAAATTGGGTTCAGACAAAAGCACAAGAGGACGTAAAGTATGCAGATATTCTCTCGTACACCTACCTTGGAGCTCAAACGCAAAATCTCCTACTCCAATTCTCCAAAGAAACCCTCTGTCATCTCCACCACCGGTTGCAACAAAAGTAGGATCTGTTGGGCTGCAGAAAACTGTGTAAAGCTCACCTGTCCCAGAAAGGAAAGGAAAATAGTTGACACCCTAAACCTTCAAGTAATCCAAGAAATAGAATTGTCCTAGCTAAGCGGAAAAGCATCAAGCTAAATCCAAAGCTAATACAGATTTTATTGAAGAAGTTGAGGTTCCACCATAAAACCAATAGGCAATAATGGGAGCAGCCCAACTATAATCATAAGCAAGGTCCCTCCTCTCATCAATGTGGGATTCATTCTCAAAACGCTCCCACATGTGTGGCGAATTTTCAAGCCTAACACGTGGACAACGCAACTTGGGTGACGTAGAGCAAGTGTGACCATTAGGCTTCACCCAAGGGACAACCTGCTCTAATACCATGCAAGGGTTCTACCATAAAACCAATTGGCAACATGGGAAGTAGTTCAACTACTTTAAGCACATGCAACGTCCCTCCTCTCATCAATGTGGAATTCATTCTCAACATTTATTTCCTAACCAACCCATGTGCAGATAAAATAAAGAGTAACATATCATATATATTTTATTTCCTATTGCTAGCACAAGAAAGCAACTGTCAATAACTCCATCGAGGGGCAGAATAATCTAAAGTTCCAAAATCCATGCGACTAGACAGTGAACTAAATGTTAACCCTTGCATCTCATCTTAGTGATGTCTACAACAATCACCTTAAGAAAATCCCTTCAATAGAAGATTCTGACATCCCTCCACAATAGAAAGTTAATAAAAATGCAAAAACATAAAACATTTCTGCCTAATGCTCTAACTATTTGCCTCTATTGTGGTTGAGTTTGACTCTAAGTGCTTTTTGAAAGAAGCACCAATTATGTGCTTCTTGCAGGAAGCACTTCAAGTGCTTTTCCAGGATTTACTTGCATTTTTATAAAAGATTGGTCCCAGAAGCACTTCCATCAAAAGTGTTTCCAGTCAATTGAAAGCACTTTCAAACACACCCATAATGTCTACAGCAGCTGAAACGCAGAAAGAAGCACAACAACTGAGCCACTTACCCGTATGGCCAGTAAACGTGTGCACCGAGTCATCGTCATCCGGCTCATCCGAAACCACCATAAAACATTCATACATACCATACCAAATCAATGGAATTAAGTCACGAGGAAAAACAAAACAAAAATCATTAGCGTCGGAGACAATATCGGTTCTAGAGAAGTAAGCATACCAACACTTTGATCATCTGCATCAGGAAGATCTGCAATCCACCACAAATTAACAAAAATTTTACACGTTATTCTTTACACAAAATATATTAATACATATGTATTACATACATTTACACACACACACACACACACACACACACACACACATATATATAGAGAGAGAGATGGATGAGGACCTTCGTCATCAACAGCGGATTCGCGGATTATGTCATCTTCATCAAGAAATATGTCCCCCTGGTCATCTTCTTCTTCATGAAAATCATGAGCTGGATTGTTCATCTTCGCCTCTAACACACAGACAAAGAGAAGGTAAATAAGCCTTGAACTTCTAGAAAATAGCACGGCGGAGGAGGTTGGTGGAGTTGTCACGTCTGGGCTGCGGCGGCGGGGGCACAGCAAGAGACGGAGAGAGAGAGTTGGAGGAGGAAGAGTTGTGCGGCGTTGGAAGTGAATGTTTCAAGGCCTGTATTCCTTCTTTCCAAACACCAGTTACATCCCGACACGTGTAAAATATTTCCTTTTTATTAAATTTTTATTTCGATGGCGGTTCTGGTTCTGGGCAATTTTCAGGTCTGCCATTTTTCTTCTATTTTTTCAATTTTTTTTTTGTTCCGATTTTTGCTGCGAGCTGAAGCAAAACTCCAATTTCAAACCCCAATTTCAAAATTAGGGTTTTGCAGAGTCATCATCTTCTTACTGTCTGTTTGGTTGCAGAGATGCTGCCAGTGTTGAATATCAATTGAAATCCGCTCTCTTCAACCATGTCATGGTCTAGGGTTTGTAAGAGAACTCTCCCCCTCTCACCTTACCTCAACAGCTCACACCTTTTCAGTCTCCACTCCAGGTAAATATCTCCATTACTTAGAAGGACATGATTTCCGCACACCATTTTTCTCGTTCCGCACGACCCTGTTTATTTCTTTCCCTTGATTCTTGATTGGATTATTCAATTAAATGGCAAGGATTAATAGCAGTATGCAGAATCCGGGAAAAAAATGTGCGGAAATCGCTTCCGGGATTAAAATTGCAGTTGGAGAAGATAACTTGTGTGAATGCCATGTATCAAGTTTGAATCTTTTGTTGTTTCATTGATTTGATGAACCAGATGCATACCCAATTGTAATTTTAGTGGAGGTGGAAGTAGCATTAGTGCATATCAGAGGCATTTCAGCCATGGTGGTAAGAATATGTGGCGGCGCTTTGAATTAAGCTCGTTCAACCAGTGTGGCAGTCAACTCTCACCATTTGCTTCTCAGTCTCTGGTGAGAAGGATCCAGAGACCCTATTCTTCTCTGGCTACCACGCAACGAAAATCGCGCAAGATGCTTTACTACTTGACGGGTTTGGTTTTTGCAATGGTGGCAGCCAGTTATGCAGCTGTTCCTCTCTATAGAAGATTCTGCCAAGCTACAGGGTACGGAGGCACTATCCAACGCCGTGAGGTCTGATTCTTATCGATTTTTCGGGCTGTAATATTGGTTTCTTTCATTCCGAATTTGTTTGATTTAACAGTGGTTTGCACCTTTGCTTTCTTTAGAGTGTTGAACAGAAGATTGCTCGGCATGCTAAGGATGGCACAGTCACAAATAGGTCCGCGTTCTGCTTCTAAAGTAACCGAGCTTTGTCCTCTTCTTATGTTTACGAAATTAGTAAATCCTTAAGTTTCACTTTGTTGTTGCTTTTTCCCCTCCTGCAAAGCCTAAAGTATTCATAAATGAATTCTTTCGGTCACTACCCCTATCCCAATTACACACGAGTTTCACTCACTTTCAAAAAAATAATTATGAAAACCTTTGTTTCTTATTCTAGAATCATGAGTCGGAATTTCATTAGTGGATTCATCTTTGGAATGATGTTGTTCTCAAAGATGTGTAATTTTGTGACTTATGTTGAATAAATTTGCCAGCATTTAGATTTCTATATGACATCCTTTTGCAGGGAGATTGTGGTGCAGTTCAATGCTGATGTGGCTGATGGAATGCAATGGAAGTTTATTCCTACACAAAGAGAGGTTTTTCCTTTCACAATATATTTATTTATTCGTATATGCATTATTAATCTTCATAACATTTTTTTCAACGAAAAGGCTCACTCTACAATTTTGTTGCTTTACCGTAACCTTCTTGCTTTATTTCTGGAAGGTAAGGGTCAAACCTGGAGAAAGTGCACTTGCTTTCTATACTGCTGAAAATCGAAGTTCAACTCCAATAGTTGGTGTCTCCACATATAATGTTACCCCTATGAAGGTACTGCTTGATAATCTATCTTTTAGTGCTTTGTCATGCTTGTTTGAATTGGATTTCTAGACTCTAGTATGAACAATGTCTCAATTTATTATTCTTATTGGGTTCCATAAACCTTGATTATCTAGATCTTATGGAAATGAAGTTTTCACTTATTTTTACTTCTGATGTTGATTATCTTGAGAGGTTTGATGTTCTAAGCTTCTTGACTAAATTTAGATGGCACCTTCGGGGTAATTAAGCTGTCGAAATATGCTGTCATAAGAGGGTACCTGAAGGTTGAAATGTGCTGTTGTTTTAGGATTTCTTGAAAATTACAACAGTTTGCAACCAGAGACAGGTGGTAACACAAAAAATGGTTTTTTTGGATGAGCTTGAGATAGCTCTATACAATGCATTGAAAGTTTCCATTTTCTTGGCTTTCAGAAGATAGTTTATTATATTGATGTAATTTCTTGACATAGAGAGTGGTCCGAGGATAGTGAAGGAACAAATAGAAACACTGTATGAAATCAATGCCAGCCTAACAAAACATTTGAAAGATGCCTTGACAAATTGTTGCTGTATCAATTGATAATATGTGTCAATGTGGCCTTAGAATTGAAAGCAGATTTGTGTGGGGAAAATGACTAGTCATGAGAAGCATCTCGTGAAATCAAGAGCACTTATGATGAGCCAAGGGATCATGGGTTTGTGCCAGTTTCCATCGAATATGCAGCTTTTGAAATCATGAGGAAGAAATTAGTTGGGTTGCACTTGATCCTGGTAGGGGCTAGTGAGAACCTGGTCCAGATGGTTTTCCAATGACAGTTTTCCAAGGTTGTTGGGATGTGTTCAAGGGTGATTTCTTGACTCTTTGCCGGGATTTCTTTTCGGGATTGTTAATGCTTACAGTAATATCAGTTGTATTTGTTTGATTCCGGAGAAACCCCATCTTAGCAGTCCATCGGCTTGGTTATAAGTTTGTATAAGATTGTGGCAAATTTGCTGGTACAATGTGATTTAGGAGTCGTCTAGTGTAAATATATGTTCACTTTATTTCGTTTCCAAAATCATGCCTATTGTTTTGGTATTACATTTTTCGATAACCTTTCCGATCTGACAACTTAAAAGCATGCTTCTAGGAGTTTCATGCACTTCACATTAGAATGTCTGGGTTTTGATAACGTAATGTTTCCTTTTCCCAGGCTGCAGTTTACTTCAATAAAATACAGTGCTTTTGCTTCGAGGAGCAGCGACTTCTTCCAGGGGAGCAGATTGACATGCCTGTAAGTAGTGTGCCTTAAAATTCTAATTGCTTAGAAGCAAAATTGCTGTACTGAAAGACACGTTACATTTTGCAGGTGTTCTTTTATATCGACCCTGAGTTTGAAACAGATCCGAGAATGGATGGTATCAATAACATAATTTTGTCCTATACATTTTTCAAGGTTTCAGAGGAATAAAGACGGTCTGCCGTCTTCCACTTCAATAACCGCGAACATGATTCGCATTAAGTTATAGAAACGACCAGACAACGACCAAACTCGAAATGTCGAGGAAGAATAGGGCAAAAAAGATCATTTATATCAGTTTTTGGTGTATGCTTTTCCATATTTAAATGCAGATCATGTTTCCTCAGCAGATTTCAATTTATTACATGAAATCTCATGACATCGACCAACCGAGGACAGGGTTTTATTTGGATGAAATGATTTAAAGGAAGGGGTCTTGGTTTACATACCCTACATTGGTTATACATTCATTTGTTTCTTCTCACATTTGAAATATATTGTTAGTTTTATGAGCTATTTGTGCGTTATATTTAGGTCGAATACTGAAAATAGCTACCACTAATACCTCTTCTTTCTCTTTAAGTCAGTACATTTGCATGACAGCATACACCTGCAGTCGAGGTCCCTAATCCGATTCCCGCCTCCCTAAGGATTGCTTGTATGGTCCCCTAGAAAGGGGGATACCTGAGGCCCGATCTAACAAGTATTGCTTGTACAATGTGCCGTCTTTGAAAATCTTGATGAAGAGATGTCTCGTCTCGTCTCCCTCGTAAAAACTAGAAAGGATCTTTCGAATGCTCGACTTTGGAGGAGCGATGACATATATTAACCTCTCTAAGTCGGACTTGCCGTAGAAATGACATTGCCTTTGGTGGCAATGACGGCCATCCGTTGATAAGGAGGAATGCCCTCGCTTGCCCAATTTTTGCATTAGCATAAGTGGTATAGTAAAGCATTTCCCAAACTCTTCCGTCCCAGAACATAAAGGTAGTGTTCAACATGAACAAAGATTAACAAATTAAACACCAACAAATACAACTAGCTTTTCTCACTTCACCACCCAAATCAACAAAATGCAAGTGAAAAATACACAGATTTTAGAGAGGGGAGGGGACGGTATTGGCGGACGCAATGAACACATGGCAGAGCTGAATAAGGGGAAAACGGGTGAAAAAACTACAACTGCGATTTCGGGTTTACAAGAAACATCAGATAAACGGTGACTGCAATCTTTAACTTTCAAAAGATGCAGCAAACAAGGTGAAAATGACTCTTGCAAACAATATATGATATTGAACCTGCAGATATCTTGTATCTGTACATGCACCTTCGGAAACCCGACAAACACAAGTCTTCTTGTAAGCTTGAGAACTATACACCCTAAGGACCCTAAAATTGGGATTGACAGTTACTTCCACCACCAGAACTGTCTAAACAAGTATATTTTTCTCATCCGAGCATCGTATGTCATGAAAGCTCGAGCTTTGACAGGGTCAGCATTTAAATACTCAAATGCATACATCTGTTTAGCCTCTTCCAAACCATCAATCTCCATCACAGCCTGTAGTAGTTGAGAGGCATCAATAGAGTATTTGCTTTGCTCCATTGCATCAGCCAAGCAACGAATGCTTGATGCCACAGTCATCAGTGCATCCTGAAGGGCTTCTGAGTCGCGAGGGCGTTTTGGAAGTTGTCTAATTGGCTGGACCAGAGGGGGTTCTTGACTACCATCTGGCAACTTGGTAAATTCTTCTTCTGGTCCACTATATGACTCGGTTCCATCTGTCTCACTTAGGTCATCTGAGCTTGGAGAAAGAAATGAGGCAGAATCATCTTCAAAATTCTTCATCTCACTTGGATGGCCTCCATCCTTCATCTTAGCCCAGCGACTAGGGACTTGATAGTTTCCACAAACAATTTTGAGTTCATCATACATCTCTATCGGCTTTCCTCGAGACCCTTTTGCATCAGGATGTGCCTATTTATGGAATTAACAATATCACCAATATGCAGACAATAAATATAAGCATGAAAAATGAAAGAATAAAGAAGAAATCCGCTCACTGCAATGTATCTCTTCCAAAGTTCTTCATTGTCACACTCGATCATCTTTGTAGTGGGATTCCACCTGAACCCATCTTGATTCAGGATATCCTTCATTGCCTTATACCTCTTCTTTATGGTCTTAAGACGATTAATGACTTTTTGATTGTTTAAATTCAAGTTGAAACGAGAGTTCACAGCAATACAAGCAGCAGTGTAAGCATGTTCATTAAAGCTCTTGTCAATTTTGTTTCCATGTCTAGCTTGAATAGCAAGGCAATCAATTAAACACTTATCCATTGCAAGTGACCATACAACGTTTCTTCCAACATTTCTTCCTTTGTGCTTCAAATCCCTTCTCTGTCTATGCAGGTTGTAGTGATCCATCTCTAACTCCTAAAAGAAATTGATAACAAATAAATAAACCAATAACTAGTACGGTACTATATGAAAAAAATACGGTGAACATAAACTTGCAGGTGGTAAGTAATTATATGAAATCCTGAGGAACTCAAGCATATCAACACACGAAAGAAAGAAAAACAATGCATATTGGTTTTCGAGATCAACTACTACTTGCAGTTTTTCACCCACCTTTATAATCTCCCGAACTGGCCATCATGATGCCCTAGTATAAGATAAAACAACTATAATATATATTTAATTCACAAGAAAACGACCAAAATATGTAAGATTTTCAATCACACGTCTGCCAGAGGTCATGATGGTCAGTCAAAGGGTTATATGTTCAGCAAATAGACTCTAGATTTTGATAACTCTAACCACTAAAATCCACATACGAATTAACAATTCCATGTAGGAGACCGGAAATGATACTGAACTATGTTCCCTAATCCATTGTACCAGGAAATAATAGTGCTATGAATCAAACTTTTACTTCTAAATCACATATATCTCCTACTATTGAAACTGTATTTATTTATTAATGAGATATGAAATCATACAACAAATAATAAAATTACGCTCAGCATATAATGATGATAACTACTACTTACTGCTCCTACCCATACTCCTATTAGATTAATCTCACAGGTAATGATACTTTCACTCGACATCAAGGGGAGAAAAAAAAAAAAAAAAAAAAAAAAAACACTGGTCAATGAAAAGAAGAAAAGGGATGGGGAGACCTAAATAATCAACTACATTTTACAAAGTCCTAGTCTTTCGTCTACGTCCAGTATAAAATAACAATTCTTCAAACTACGCAGACTACATTGAGAAAAGCAAGTAAGAGCTTGATTTCCTTACAGGAGTGTAACTCAAAATAGGTCACAATTGCGTGTTTCCATTCTGCGAAAACGAAAGTAAAGTGCATATTCATATAGATTGGTGGTGACTTCCAATCTTTTCACTGGAAAAAATTCATTACCTATTCATATGAAAATTTGCATATTATCTAAACAAGCTCCTAACTGCAAGCAATTAGAATAACAAGCTATATTATACACTCGCACACAGTGATATACTGTATGCATATATACAAATATACATCTATACATATAGAGAGAGAAAGGGACAGATACCCTGGTCAATGGAGGGAGGAAGTAGCGGTCTCTGAAGTGGTGGAGCTCTCTCGCCGGTCAGATTGCCAATTCCCACTGCATATGATCACCGGGAGATGCAGAGACGGCGTTAGGATGAGGAATGAGGACCGCTACCACACTTCATTTCGGAAATTAGGGTTTTCTGTTTGTAATTTTGGTTTTATTTTTCTCGAGAAAAGTTGGGAAAATTTTTCCCGAGTATTGACACTTTCTCGAAAGCCAAACGCTTACGTAAGAGTTTGTAGATTTGCAGAGTGCCACGTATACAGGAAGTTTAGTTAAGGTCAGAATGATATTTTTCATGAGAAATATAAATGCATTAAAGAAAAAACTACGAATACTAGAGGTTTTATGTTTGATTTTTATTAGATGCGAGTATGAATAATATTATTGTTAGCACATTATAACACTAAGTTCATCCTCTCATTTTTAACGTAAATAATATCGTTTGTTAAAAAAAAAACTCAAGAGCAAGGACAACATAAATAGGAATATTGCAACCCCAAAAATAAGAATTGGAGCTACCCATTTCTTTATTAGTGACATCTGCAAGAAAATTGTCCTCCCAAAAGTTGTGACTCCACGTAATGTTTTGGAAGGAAGACATCAAGCTTCCAATGTACATAATGATAGATCGGATTCTCCATGGTATTTTGAATCTCCCTTCAACCACATTAATGACCTGTTTAGAATCTCCCTCCACGCAAATATTTTGAAAGCCTCTATTCCGAGCAATTATCAGAGCATCTGAAACTCTGTTTTATGTGAAAATCTCGAGGATATTCATATATTGGGGTATGTTTAATCAGCATGTGTTGTAGATCCAAAAATTTCAATAAACCAATGCAAATTAGATTCATTAGATTTAAGAAACTCAAGTTGTAGGTAAATTTTTCGTAAGTTCATTAGATTTAATAAACCTGAGACGGTCGTAAATTAATAATTTCACAATAAACTTGTGTTGTAGGACATTTTTAAAGAATTGGCTTCTGCATCCTATATGTTTTTGAGAGGACAAGCTTTGGCACAACACATAAGTTGCTCCTTCGTGGCTAAAAGATCACGAGTTCAAGTCGTGGAAATAGTCTTTTTGCAGAACAAAAATAAGACTGCGTATGATAGACATTCTCTGACCCTTGCAAAGAAGGAAGTCTTGTTGGGTTGAGATCACCCTTATCATAAATGTCTTTTTGAAAGAGTTTATCAAAAAAGTTATTAAGTAGTCCTTTTGCAATTGGGTGTTCATAAAAGTTAAGACCATTTACTTCCCCAAGATGAATAGATGAGAATGCAAGATGCATAGCATACTGAAAAAATTTGATGAAAATGGGGAAAGATGAAGTATGAAAAAACTTGTGTAACTGCAAATTAATGGCTATTTGGTGGGGAGGAGTTGGCGGAGCGCTCCACAGATCTTGAATCTCTCAAGATCAAAATGTTAGTGTTTCGAATGTGAACTCTTTTGACACCACCCCGAATGAACTCACCAAAAGAAAAAGGAGCCGGTGTCAAAGCCATCCCGAATGAACACACCAAAAGAAAAAGGAGCCGATGACAAAGCCGATGACTGAGTAGGGATAAAAAAAAGCGTGTGAAAATCACTTCTCTTTTAAATTACTAACAAATCCTTCGAACCAACTTCTGTACAGTCTACGGCAGTTTCCTCGTCAAACTTTAATCAAACAGTTAAGAATGGCCTTAATCAAATTTCTGGAACAACAAAATTCTCTTTTATAGAACTAAGAACCATACTCCTATACCTCATTTTGTGTACTGGTGATACCATGCGATTCTAAGCCTGCCTCGAATGCACTAAGACTCGTAAATTACTAGACCGTCGAAACAAACTTACTTTCGATTTTCTTCCTTGTCAAATGATTCTGAGGTGGCCAAGTACTGGTTTCTCAGTCCGGGTTTGAAACTTTAAACTTTAAAGCATTTCAACAACAAACTGTTCATCCTGCCAAAGAGGAGCAATGCAACAATATTAACTGATATCAATTACAAAAGAGCAAATAGATTCACTGCAATTTTATTTTCCTCGTTAAGAATAAAAAGAACTGACCGAATAAGGGATTGCACGGGGCTCACTTTCTTCTTCCTCTAAGCTATACAAATGGAACATGCCTGCCTTTGATCTCAACTCTTTTCAGTTTCCCGGCAGACTAAGGGAGAATCAAGTGCAAGAGAATATTGGATTAACAGTTATAATGTCAGTACTAATGAATGCATGCAAAGGTTCATGATGCTTAAACTTCCAAGGTAGTGAGCGAAATACTTCAAATACATGATTACTATGGAACCGGAAAGTACATGCTGACTTTACCAGTATGCTAGTACATGTGCAGCACAGTCAAAACATTTTTCACGCTTCGTTTGTTGTGGAATAAGCTGTTTAGAACACCAACTGCGAACGCTTCAGCATGAGCTTTTTCTTCCTGCGTGACAATACAAGCAGTTGGAGGCCAATAAAAATAGTGAAATCCGGAGATATCTAGATCATTTGTTGTATACTGCTGACTCCTGTATAGATGTCCGACCTTTTAATTCTTTCCTTTATATTCAATTAAATGTTGGACTATAATCTAAAGATCGATGTAACATGAGAATAAGGGATAAAAGCATAAGCAAAATGAAGCTCTGTGATCTGGTAGGAAAGTTAGATCAGATAACTAGGGATTTTGATAAGTTGAAAAAGAGGACCACTCAGATGTCAAATACATATAACAGGATTAAAATGAGAAGGATTACTGATTTGTTAAAGGCTTGACATAATGACTATGAAACAGAGTACAGAATCTAACCGGTCTACAGCTTCTTTTCCATGCAAAGCTGCGGCCTTCGCAAGTTGATATATTCTGTTGAAATTTGTTTGATCCATGGCCTCTTTATCAAATATGGCATCTGATAAAACAACTGATGATGCTCCTTCAGCAATATACTCCCCAACTACATCTGTATCAAGCAGAAGAACAAAGTATCAGAATAATAAGTCAGGTGTCCTTGCTCAAATCCAATCATTTACTTCCGGAGGATGTTGAACAACACCTGAAATATGAGTAATAATTTCATAACTGGAACTAAATTTAGCTAAATATAATCCTGAAAGATTTCGATCTCTTTAAGTTATAAGTTTTAACTAACGTATACCCAAAAAACAGCTAACATGATGAAAGACCTTCTTGTCACCTCCTAACGTATGCTTTTCACATAAAAGAAAAAAGCTACCAGCCAGAGTGCTGGAACTACTGAATTTGCATTGATCAAATAGCTGCTAGGACCTTATGTTTCTTTCATATGACATAAGCTAAAGATTTTCCGAGTATTAACAGGACGTGATGGCTGCACTGAAGCTTTAAAAGAAACAGGAGAGTCAAATTACCAACCTATCTTTATGCCTTGAGAAGCAACCATTGAGATGTGAGGAAAAGGCTTTTTAATGGCTGATATATATTGTGTGCCACCTAATGCAGAAACAGGATATACCTGCTCACCAATATAAGACAGTTGATTCCACAAGTCTTATACAGAGCTGAACAAGCATGCATAAGAAATTGAACTTTATGGGGCAGTGCAATACACAATTAGCCATGAAAAGTTCACTACACTCTACAATTCATTTTTCAACTGAAAAGAAACATTTTGTTCACTAAGCTCAGTGAAGCTACTAAAAGATGCTTATAATTAACTTATGACCTCGGATGTTTAACTTGGTTTTGTTTTTTTTATTAAAGTTGTACCAGAATGTTGGTGGACATCTTTTTCGCTGAGTCTTTATACCGTGTTTTATAATGATTATTCACTAATATTTGGTTCTCATATTCCTAGTTTTTGTTTGACTCCAAACCGATAGTCTATGATAAAGATGTCTGTCGTGAAGCAACTTCCATGTGAGAAAGATGAATGCAAAGAATTACCTTGACAATCTTGGCACCAGTGTTATATGCAGACAATATCTGCAATTAGCAAATTGGTTAAGGAAAAGTTGATCAGTCTTTGCAATGTCCATCACAATACCATGATATGTAAAATGCATTTAGATTTTCCGGTATAATTACAAGAGTAAAGATTTTAAAAATTAAAATAGGTCAAACAGGTTCAACTGTAAATCCATGAAGCTTCAGAGATTGAAGCGAGTTACAGTTTTAAGTATAAGAAATGGCTTTACCTCTGTTGGGGTCATAACACCAGGTATGTATAAAACTTCACTATACCGTAAATCATCCACAATATCCTGATGCAAATTTTTTGAGTTATTAAAAGTAATATGAGATAGATATTTGAAGACATGAACATGGAATATAACTGATAATAAATGGAAATAGTTACAAGTTATACGATGGTAAGGAAAGCAGAGTGATTGGAGAAGAACAGAGAAAAGTGAAGGAGGCTTTTCTTGGCCAAGTATATCAGTATATGTATGCTATGCCAAAAGGAATGGACATGTCTACAAAGATAAGTTGGTAGTCTCGCACAACAATAAGTTACTCCTATGTACATCTATGAGACAACGTCCTATAAGCCCTTGCAAGGCTTGTTAAGAATCCAATGTGGAGCATTTATCTCCAAGAACTTAGTAGATAAGCTCTAATGTGAAGATAAAAGGTTCTTCATTGTTATGGGTCCGGTTACCCTCATTCCAAATTAAAAGTTAGATTAGATGAAGATAAGGGAAGTTGAGAGATACACTTTGTGGTTAATACCTATGAAGTTCAGTATTAAGTAAAGAAAAAGCATACAGAAACTTCTAAATGCTTACCTTCACCATAGCAGGACTCATAAGAAAGTTGGCTCCTGCTAGCATTGCCCTTTTGGCATCGTCAACATTTAGTACAGTTCCGACCTGCAGGCCCCTTGGCGACTTCAGAGAAACTAATTTATGATGGTTCCAATTACAGTTTCTATTATGGGATACAATTTGATCTTGTCATTTCTAGAAACATACAGAATTTGCATTTCGAATGCTTATCAGAAGACGTGACTGGAATTTAGAAAGAGAAGCTATCAAGGTTAAAATCCAAATTTCCCATCTAGAACATATATGCTACACAAGTCACATTTCAGATAACATCCAAGAAAAGGATAATGTATGACTCAGACTCACCCACATGAACCAATATTTGTGTTCGATAATGCAGATGAGGGAATAAGTGCGTAATTTTGTTTTTAAAGTTTTGGTGATTTATTGTGTCAAACACCATGACCTAGAGC